GTTTTCGTCGCCCCTTCGACTCCTACGCTCCCCCGCGCCGCCTCCTCCTTCTTTCCCTCCTTCGTCTTCGTCTTCTGTGTAGTCTCCCCTACTTCCTCCGTCCGGTTTGCATTACTCGCGATATGTATGCCGCCGAGTACGAAGTACGAGAAGGAAGTCCCCGGCAGGGACGGCTCGCGACGTGTAACACACTCTTCTATTTGTTACAAAATCGGGTCTAAAAATTTCTCTACGCAACCTAGTCTTGTACTATACGAATTTTTGATTTGGTCGAAATAAATGATTTGTGGGATTAAAATCGATCGCTTTGAAAAGAGAGAGACAATATGGAGAGATACATTCTCTCCATATTTATATAAAATCATTTTTATAATTTTTAAAAATATTATGAGTGCTTATATATGCTTTATTTCACTTGATTCACTTGATTCATAAAGTTTTATTTAGGAGAGAGAAATACGAGTATTTCAATAGCTACACATGATGCCGCAATGTCAATTAAACATTTAACACAGAATTTTCTATCTCAAAAACTGAAATGATTTGTACAAAAGAATTGAGTAAAAATCGCTAAAAATCTGTGGAAAACATTTATATCTCATATTTCACAACATGTTATTTTTCTGTATTATTGTAGCTATAAATTCTCTTTCTGATCATCCCAGAAATTCACACTCTCTCTGGAAAATTAGTAGGCTCTATTTTTTGCACGAGAAACACATGTGCCCTAATTTGAAAATCGATTATTAGTGGAAATCGAATTTTTTTCGCGTGACTCTTCCCAACCAAACTTTGACGTATGAGATAAAATTCATGACAGATTCCTCCAATTGTCTGTAATCTGATTTTCGAAACATCGCATCAGGTTCTCTCGTTCTCGAGAATTCAGAGAACACGAGGAACACACTGGAAGTTCTATGTCGTGCTTTTCTTCATCATCGGCATCGTCGTCGCCGTCGCCGTCGCCGTCATCGTCATCGTCGTCGTCGTCGTCGACGACGACGACGACGTCGACGGTCGTGGCTATCGATCGGTCGCGGGCGTCGGCGTCGGTGCCGCTCGGTGGCGCCCCCGTCAGCTCGGGACGGCGGCGACGGCGCT